ATCATAGAATATGTATATAATTCATAATAATTTAATTGTATATATATATATATATGGAATTATATATAATTATATATATATAATCATTTATATATATATATAATCATCTATAACATAATATATCATTATTATCATTATTATCATTATTATTATTATTATTATTATATATAGGGATAGCCATGGCTGGTCCCTCCATGAAACCCCCCTGGCTGGACATCCTATCGCCGCTCCGCTCGCCTCTAGCATCAGCACCCTTACAAGTCCCAGCTTTTCCTTACTGTCGGTGCCTTGGTTGCAACGATTTCCTGGTGGTCAACGTTTCCATCTCCAGATCTAGCGGTTTTGTGTGCGGAAACGATCCGGCAATTGGGATCCATCGTACTCACTATCCCAAATAAACGACACCAAAATATGACGAGGCATCATTGAAAACACACACTTCAGGTCGCTAAAAGTTGAGGTTTCGAAATGAGAAAGTTCACCCTTTGGCGGGGCCTCAATATCCCACCAAGCCTAAGAGAGTGTCAGCATCAAGAATCAAAGGCCACTCTGCCACCCTGAATGATGGTGCCTTCATCAATCATATCTGCTTTTGACAATCCAGGAGAGTCTCCCAAAATCAGAATCCTAGCCTTTTGATGGTGAGTTTGCCAGAAACTGAAAATAAAGGAAACCGTATCCTAATTGATTCTTCTATACCTATAATTGATATTCAGCCTTTTTTTTCGGCGATTTGAACTCGCGATTCAGCCCCATGAAAACAGGCGCTCCCGTTGCCATGACCGACATGTTGCCAGTGGACGACTCTAGGATCGACCGTTTTTTTTTGGTCACAACTCGCTGAATCATTCTATGTTCGTGTGGAAATCATGTGGTATTGTCTCAAACATGTGTTTCGTCCCAAAATTTATTAATCCAATTTGACATAATCAAAAAAACGACATCGATTTTTAAACCATGGTTGACCCAAAAATCACAATGGGGAACATGATGTTCTAATCGATACCCTCTAGTTGTTTGACATACTGAACATGGCCCATTTATAGATGGTGATTTTCAATAGCAAACGTTACGGTGAAATGTCCAATCGATACACACCGGTCCAAGCCACAGAAATCCGCCACGTACTCGCCCACGGTTTCAAGGCGATCGGCTGCGGTTCTCTCCTGGTGAAAAACTTCAACGCACAGATTTTTTGAGGGGGAAATTGAAGGAAACCACGGGGTTTTCCTGGTGAAAATGTCAGGAAATGTCCAGTGAACATGTATAAAATGCCAGCAAAAATGGTGCTTTGACCCCAGATGTCCTGCAGTATGTAGCTCCATTCTGGGAGTTGGAGGACGATCTTCAGGAATTCGATGTTCATCTACCAAATTTGGGGAGACCTTTGGCTGTATGATTTTGAGATGGCCTGTTCGGCCTGTTGAAAATAGCCTGGAATCACCTGCTACTTGGCTGAGTTTCTGAAAACCGTCACCTACCCTCTGGTAATCAAACATGGCAATTAATAAATCCTCTACAAACTGGTGTTCTGGGAAAATCATTGAACTAAATGGTGGATTGTCCAGCAAGCCATTGTTGATTCCCGGAGGGTAATTTTGTTGGTTCTTTCAGCTCCTTCCAAAACAAAATATAAAAGTATATAAAAGTCATATGTCAGGCAGGGCGATCCTTTTCCATACGAGTTGGGCCTTTTCTTGACGAGCCGCAACATCCAGCAGCTCCATGTAGCAATGCAGCTTGACAGGATTTTGACATATGGGCAGGGGTCAAAATGATCATTCCCCCCCAAAAAAAAAGTACGGTTTCTGATCCTACAAGTGCCCAACATGCTTGGTGGCTTATGTGGCTTGACGCAGCAAGCGCCCCAAAAAATCGCTCGCTCCGAGTCCTCCCTATACATCGGTGTGGCCGAGTGGAAGTGAAACCTTGGGACACGCTGTCGCTGAATTTTAATCCATGGCTTCCTACATGAGGACAATCATGGTTAAAACTCCATGAGTTCAGAAACACCCCCGGAGAAACCCTGGTTTGGTGATTCATGTTATTTTGGGGGGTCCCGTTTAGGTTGACTTGTATCATGAGCAAACTGGTATGAGAAGCCTCCAAGATTATCCTTCAAACTGGCCATGTAATTATGCATCTCCAACAATCTGGGGAAGCAACAACTGATCTCGGAAACGGCTGAATGAAGCTGTTGCTTCAGAAACACAACGAGGGCTACCAATGAAAGAAAGAAAACCCTGCATAAGTGCGTAGGTATAACATCGAGACATTTATACGGTGATGCACCATACACTTGTATGATCTTGTCTGAACATCAACATACCGATCCACATGATGTCACATCCGTTTCTTTATAAAATACTGTCATTTTTGAGAAACCTTCCATAAACCGACCATTTGGGGATTCAAAAAGCACCCATTTTTCATGGCGCATGGAGGTCTACCTCACCGACATCCCTTGACGCCAAGGGACGGCTTGCCCAGGTAATGGGCAATCCGATTCTCCAACAAACGCCTCCGATTTCGGTGATGTGGCCTGTGATGGCGGGATGGCTCGGGTTGGGGAAGTAAAGCGGTGTTTAACCATAAAGACATCAATGCCTTAATCATTTATATTATATATATATATAGATAGATGTGATGTGTCATGTTCATATCCGTGAGTTTCCCTAAACAAGCCTTGCAGAATACGAGTGATCCAGTTTAAGCAAGGATCAGTCATGTTAAGGACCAGATGGGGATGGGTGTGCCCATATTCTGCGCGTGCTCTCCCAAGTTCAATTGGTTTCTCCATTTCAAGTGCTCAAAATCTGTGGAATTGCCTGGGCATCCCATGGCTGTCATCCAACTGTATGACTAACTGCTTGATGATGCGCTCTATTCATAGCCAGGCTCTTTGCAAAGCAAAGATTCAAATGATCCATAAAAGCTATAAACAACCCTTTGTGCTTATGGATTTCAAAATGTGCACCCTCAACATGGGAATGTTATATAGACGATCATATGTACAAAACATGTCAAAATCATCCAATGGCACTATGGTGCCAAAGGTCTAAAAGAGAAAAAAATGACACATAACCCACAGTCATAACATGTCATAACCATCAAAAATAATTCCATCGAGTCATGTCATCGGTGGGCTAAACAACCCAGATGATCCCAAAGGAATCATGATTAGCATCTGGTTATGACTAACAGTTCGCCATGGTTAAGCCATGGCCCTAATCGAAATCGATGCTTTACCTAGCTATAACCATTATTAATAGCATGGTGGATCTTTCCATGGCTATTGCTGTGAATGTCATCACCAGGTTGGGTAATATTGTTAGTTCTTTATCCATATTTACCCTCTGGTAATTTAACATAGCTATTGAACATGACCATAGAAATAGTGGATTTTCCCATGAAAAATGGTGATTTTCCATAGCAAAATGTAAACGTTTACCAGAGGGTATCCCATGGCCCATGAATCTTCCCTTGAAAAAAATGTGGTTTCTGTTGGCCGAATCCTCAGGAGCTCTGGGATGAAATCCCCTGCCTCCGCCAGCTCGAGGAGAGGATCACCTGACAGGGAACCACCGGCTCCTGATGGATAGCTGTGATCTGCGAATCTGCGCAGCCAACAAAATCATCCAAAAACAACAAACAATCCACTTGGCAGTGTGTCAAAACCAATAGTACCCCTTTTTTGTTCACATCAAAATAGCTGGGATAAATGGATGTGAATAACCCACTAAAAATGGTATTAATAGGTCTTGATCCATACCCACTTCACTTGATGAAAAAACGGGTGGTTTTGCTCCCCCGGCTCTGTTTTTTTTTTCTGCTGGAAGAATTTGTTCGCTGCAATGCAAACCTTCTTCAAAGGATTCTGCACTGCAAGAAAAGAGCACATGGATGCAAATGGTGTGTTCCAAACGCTCCGCTTGCACACAACCAACTCCAGCTTGGTCTTGGTCTCAAGATCTTCGCAGGAACACTCATGGCTAGTGGGGGAATCAAAATCCTAATCAGGGTCTTGGCGGGTCCAATAGAATGTCTAGGAGTTGGGGATCCCAAAATTACTTTCTTCGAGTGACCCCCCAACTGACATATTGTTTTACATTTTATCTGGCATTCTATCTGACATGTTTTCTGACATTCTATATATCTGACATATATTCTGACATTATCTCTGGAACTCTATCTGGCATTCTATCTGGCATATATTTTGGCATTCTATCTGAGATTATATGTGGCATTCTATCTGACCAATATCTTCTCACATTCCATCCATTCTCTCTGGCATGTCTTCGGGCCGAGGCGTGCCCAACTCGGAGCTGCACGCAGAGCTGGCCATATGGCTCAATGTCCAGGTGTGCCAGCTGCATCTGGAGGTCACAATGCTTGAAGAGGGGGAAGAAGAACGAGAAGAAGAAGAAGAAGAAGAAGTTGCACCTTTGTTAAAATCTAGAGATCTCTGACCTGGTAGGTGGGAAAAAAAACTTAAGAACAGTTGTTCTTTCGTAGAGTCTTTCTTTGGTAGGGCCTAATTCACTATGATCCAATATCAGCTAAGGATTATCCAATATTAATCCCACTATTGGGTCGCCCATTCATTGTTTGGAACATGCCCAGAGCACATGATAATACGATAAAATGATAAAACGACGACGTTTTCAGCTTTGCTGAGCATCGCAGATCATTGCTAGGCATGGCGGCGCCTAGCAGATCCAACCCCAAAGTGGTTGGCTGGTACATGTTCAAAATAGGTGCATCTGAAAATGTGAGATGTACTCCCAATATAACCCGATATAACCCAATATATATATATATACGTATATATGACAATACATGACAATGTGTGTTTGTAGGGAAAGTGATGAGGCTACGCTGTTTCCAGACACACCCATATGCTAAACAACTGATTGGTGGCTGGATGAATCGTGCTGAACCGAAACTCCAGTGCACCACCAATCAGTCTAAAGGTTTGAAGCCATCCTCATCGACCGAGTTTACTGCTCAAGCTTGGCGCATTTGTCTGGCAGTTTCATAGTAGCCCTGGCTGCAACCAAACATGCCAAACCAAATAGGGGACAACTCAGATGCACCGGCAACGTTCCACACCATGGTGAGAGGCACCCACCAACCTCGGTGGAGCAGTCCAGTGCCGGGGCTACGATGAACCGTTGGCTTCAATATTTTTCTGGGTTAGCCTAGAATGCCTAGATGAATAAATCCTGATTGATTTCCTAAGATCTAAGGATAGTAAGGAAGATATCTGAAATAGTCGCAAAAATACAAATCCTTTTTCAAACTGGTTCAAACTGGTTGCCCCCCAGTTATTCAACAACCCAGTCAGAACATTCGTCTGGGCCAAGGCTCTCGGCCAAAAATTTCGCAGGTCGGAAGGGCAATTTTCTGACACCACTCTGGAAAGACTTCTGCCAGCGCAACATAGATGGTGACAAAAACGACGCTCAAACCTGAGTTCATACCCTAAATTTTGGGTATATGAATGTGGGTCAAAATAGGGGTGCCTATACAATGGCTGATTAATTTCGACCAAAAAAAAATGTTCATCCGTGGTGGGGGGCGTTAACTTTTGACCCACGCTGTTTTTGACGTAGGACAATGGAAAAAGCGCATTGGGGAATTCGGACTCCTATGTTTAGCTGCCGCACTTCCATGGACATTTTGGGAGGGTGTGATGATAAATAGCTCTGTGACAAATAAGAAATCCTTGAAGTTCGGGTGGTTTTTCCACCTGCTGTGCACCCACGGGCCCTTAAATACCCCAGAAATCTTGGTTTATGCCCATATGGTGGATCCCCAATAGCGGGATGGTCCATGGAAAATCCATAGATGGATGATTTAGGGTCACCCCTATGACTCAGGAAACCTCCATATCCTCCGAGCTGGTCGAGGAGCACATGCGTGCAACGAAGACCATGGTCATGACAAAAGCGCTGTCCGTCGTTCCGAAGGCACAGGCCATGAGACAAAGGCCCCCTAGGAAGAAACCGCCAAATTGGGCTCGATTTCGACCTGCAAATCCAAGATGAATCATGAAAATGATTGTGAATCATCTTCCAAAATGCAGCTGCATGTCATGGATGACAATGGATGACCAAGCCACTATAAAGTGGTTGGAGTAATAATAGAACCCCCTGCACCACAGAAAAAAATGGTCGTTCCATTGGAATTTGGATGGGCCCCAAAAGAGGCAGCCTCCGCCTCCGCGGAATCAATGCGGGGAGCAATGCAGCAAGATACATCCGGCACAAACGCAAATATGCAGTGGAAAAACCATGAAACACCATCTGTCAGTTGTATCTATATATATATTATATATATAATATACTTATATACTTCATCCCTGTTGTTGGGTTAGAATAAACAGTGCTTGAATTCAGCAGCCGATCATATTTTGACCTCCGGCCTATTTCACTGGCCCGGCTTGCGAAGAGGCATGCCACGATGTCAGACACGCTGACGAGCATTAAACTCATGTATGCATTGGAACAAAGCGAATCGGCGGAATAGCTCAGGCCGTAGTATGCAAAGACCTCGGTGGCTCTGTTCACCCTCCCCAAACCTGGTGATTTCAGGCCTTACTCTTGAAAAATGGATCACCCAAGGCGCATGAAGGTGAGTTGGAGCGGTGGGGTCTGCATTTATTTTGGAATCAAACGTTTTGCGTTTTTGGCCGTATTCTGCTTTTGCAGACAGGTTTGAAATCCCACAAAACATGGGATGGCTCACATGAAGTTCCAAACCATCAACGAAAAGAAAATGGCGGCAAGTACCCACTGACCAAACCTCGCCCTTTTAGAGATGTTGCAGCCACTGTCCTGGTTTCCCCAACGCTATGGAGGGAACAGTTGCCTTGCCTTCTGGTTATGGCGGCATTGCTGGGCGTTATGGCGTTTCAACCGACAACAACGACGACGACCGCCGCCGCCACCACCACCACCAACAACAACAACAACAAACACAACCACAAGAACAAGAACAACAACAACAACAGCAACAACAACAACAACAACAGCAACAACAACAACAACCACCACAAGAACAACAACAACAACAACCACAACAACAACCACAACCACAACAACCACAACAACCACAACAACCACAACAACCACAACAACCACAACAACCACAACAACAACAACAACAACAACAACAACAACAACCGCAACAACCGCAACAACCCCAACAACAACAACAACCACAACAACCACAACAACCACAACAACCACAACAACCACAACAACCACAACAACCACAACAACCACAACAACCACAACAACTACAACAACCACAACAACCACAACAACCACAACAACCACAACAACCAACAACGAACAACAAAACCAACCAACCAACCAACCAACCAACCAACAAACAAACAAACAAACGACAACGACAACGACAACGACACCGACAGCGACAACGACAACGACAACGACAACGCAACGACGACAACAACAACGACAACGGCAATGACGACGACGATACAAAATGAACAATTCTGCAAGGGGACTTCAAACGCTGGTACCGCGACAAACTATCTTCGAACACAAAAACACATCCCCAACTGTCAGTCCGGGAAACAGACGGGTCCCACGCAACATTCCACAACATCCCAACCACCATCCCTATGATTCTCGCCCCTTGTCCAAGGATACCCAAACCCATTGGTGGATCACCATAGCCCACATGAAATTCATATAAATTTTAGGCAGCCCCATTTTCAGGCAAACCTATTGCAATAAATTGGCTGGTATCCCCCCTTTTCAGCCAAACCCAGATTTTGTTGGCAACTCGTAACCATCTTATGCACAAATGACATTGGGATTTCATCGCGGTATCACAATCACACCCATATACTACTGTTGGTAACTGAGGTGCAGTAGCAGAGAAGCAGACAGCCAAATTCCTCAGATCCTTCCGCGGAGTTCCAGTCAGGTCCCACCCCTCGTGGCCGCTTTGCGGCACCGTGGGCGCAGGGATGGCAGGGCTCAGGGCACGCGGCAGCGACAGAAGCACGGAGCGTAGGTCCGGGAAGGCCAAGAGCAGACCTTGGGTCGGGATATGGTTCGGGATTCCTACCCAACCATATGATCAGTGAGAATTGGTGGATGGTCATTTTATGCGGATATAATCGGGATACTGGCGTTTTAACGGGAATAGACTGGGAATACAATAGTATATACGGCCAACGAAATGATCTAGGCGTGTTTGAGAATCGGGGGTTACACCAAAGTTTTTGGCTATTTTGATAAGCACAATGGTGATTCACCAGTTGATTTAGGGAGCCCTATTTTCAGACAAACCCAAATGGTTTGTTTTCACTAGACCCCTGTGCATGTATCCACCGCATCATCATAAATTCAATTGTTACCCCAGCTATAAACCAACTTACCTACCGTTTGGGACCGATTTTTGCAAAGATGCTGTTGGTTTGAAAGGTTTATCCACTGAAATGTCAAATGGAACCAATGAGAATTCGGGATGGGACCAGAAAATCTGGGTATGTAATCCATAATTTTTGGAGGATCCAGTTGAAATTTGCTGGAAGCCTCCAATGATGGGACACCCATTGGAAGGGTCCCTTTCGACCCACTCTCACGTTCCAAGCTTCCCTGCTTCCGAGTATTTGGCGTCCTTTTTTTAAATTGGCACAAATCAACAAGCAAAACAATCACATATATGAAACTTTGGTAGATCTAGGGTCTGTGATGACCTGGTTTCGCCATCCAATCCTTGTAATGCTAGTAAAGCAGTAGGAGCCACCATCGCCAATTCTGGCATTTTTATGGCTGGTATAAACCATCAAGATGTGGTTTTTGACATTGCTTAACTTAAAGGAAATAACGACCGTGCAATTGGCCACGGCGCCTGTGAGGATCGGCAGGCCAAACCACAGAAAGGCCTCCAGACGCCAGTTGCTGTGCAGGGCCCAGGTGCCGCAAATCAGGGCCATCACGACGGCCACGACGCTGTAGAGGGCGTTCACCAGGGAACCTCGAAGCGTAGGACTACTGCAGTAGTAGTTGTTACCATTGTTGTACTTGTTTGTTGTGTGCTACTACCAATAGTACCGCACAAGGCGGTGGCGGAAGTTTCAGAGATAGGAAACTATATAGAGGAGGTGAGTTGTTGTGATGCATGGATGGCAGAGCGAATCCACTGATGGACCGGCGGGTGGTTGGAGCTGTGCAGTTTGTAGTGGTTGCAGTGGTCGCCTCACCCAAAACTGCGGGATGTAGTGTGGTGCAATGTAGTGTAGTGTAGTTCTAGTTGCAGTCGCAGTTGCAGTTGTAGTTGTAGCTGTAGTTGTACTTGTAGCTGTAGTTGTTGTAGCTGGCAGGTTGCAGTTGGCGTAGTGTAGTGGGGCGTAGTGAAGTGTAGGTGTAGGTGTAGTTATAGTTGTGGCGTAGTGTGGTGGGAGTGGGAGTGAGAGTGGGACTGGGACTGGGCGTTGGAATAGTAGAAGTAGAAGTAGAAGTAGAAGTAGTAGTAGTAGTAGTAGTAGTAGTAGTAGTAGTAGGAGTAGGAGTAGGAGTAGCAGCAGCAGCAGCAGCAGTAGCAGTAGCAGTAGCAGTAGCAGCAGCAGCATTTGTTTTTGTTGTTGTTGTTGTTGTTGTTGTGGTGTTGTTGTTGCAGCTGTAGCTGCGGTTGTAGTTGTAGTGGTAGTGGTAGTGGTAGAGTGCTGCAGTATAGTGTAGTGTAGTGCAATGCAGTGTAGTGTAGTGTAGTGGTACTTGTAGCTGTAGTTGTAGCTGTAGTTGGAGTTGTAGTTGTAGCGCAATGGTAGTTGTAGTGGTTGTAGTAGTTGTAGTAGTTGTGGTAGTTGTAGTAGTTGTAGTAGTTGTAGTAGTTGTAGTAGTAGTTGTTGTTGTTGTAGTGGTTGTGGTTGTCGTTCTTGTTCTTGTAGTGTAGTGTGGTGTAGCGTTGTGCGGTTGAACGTCCAAAAGTGGTCCAAGACCGCTTCAAAATGTGCTTCGCGCCGCAACAGCGTGCACTTCTTCGGCATCTCAGCGTCCAACAATGATCCAAGCCGTCGGTTTTTAAGACTTTTGACATCGAAATGTGCTTCGCGCCACAATGCCGTGCACTTTTTCGGCATCAACGTCCAAAAGTACTCCGAGATCGCCAGTTTTTTACACTTTTGATTTTGAAATGTGCTTCGCGCCACAAGGGCGTGCACATTTTGAACATCTCAACTTCCAAAAGTGTTCCGATACTGAAGCGTTTTGCACCGTTTGACTTCGAAATCTGCTTCGCACCACAACGCCGTGCAAATTTTTCAACATCTCAACTTCCAAAAGTGCTCCGAAGCCGCTGTGTTTTCACACTTTTACTTGAACATGTGCTTCACGCCCCAGCACCGCGCACTTTTTGAACACGTCAACTTCCAAAAGCGCTCGGAGGCTGAGGTGTTCTGACCGTTTTGACTTCGAAATCTGCATCGCGCCACAGCGGCGTGCAATTTCTTATCTCCCATCTCCCCAGATGGCTCGGCACGCGCTGCTTTAGCGAGCCTACTTTTCGACCCTCCGGAGCCACAAAACATTGGAAAAACACAGCGTCTTGCGCTTTTCTACCTTTTCGCGCACCTGCATCTTCTTTCTTCTGACTCTTTTTCTTCTCTGATCTTCTTTCTTCTTCCTTCTCTCCCCTGACTCTTGCCACACTTCCTTCTCCATCTGTCCATATTGTCGGAAGTTTGACTTCTAAACTTCCTTCAGATACCTGTATATATATATATATTGTGTGTGTGTCACATGTTCATACTCATGTACATCCAAGTACATATCACCATGAGCATAATCATCATCATCATCATCATCATCATCATCATCATAAACATCAGCATCAACATCAACATCAGGAGCAGCAGCGGCATCAGCACCATCATCATCATCACCATCACCTTCATCATCATCATCAGCAGCAGCAGCAGCAGCGGCATCAGCACCGTCATCACCATCAGCATCATCATCATCATCATCACCATCACCTTCATCAGCAGCAGCAGCAGCAGCATCATCATCATCATCACCATCATCATCATCATCATCATCCGCAGCAGCAGCACCACCAACATTAGCACTTTCATCAGCAACATCGTCAGACCTACCATCACCACCACCATCATCATTGTCGTCGTCGTCACCACCAGCATCGTTGTCGTTGTCCTCATCATCATCATCATCATCATCATCATCATCAGGTTTTGGGATATGTTCTGGGCTTGGAAGAGCAAAGAACATATGCGAATCTGAAACCACCAAGCAAGGAACAGAGCTGACTGCCATAGCCAGGGAAGCAGTTCTGCATGTAGATGTATTGCCTCATCTCCACCATTCAAGGCGGGGATTTCCAGGTGGAACGCTTGTCTTTTCATGTCTTTTCCCGGTGGATTTCCCAGTGGGGAAGTTTAAAAGATCCCCTTCAGCGAAGCCAGGCTTTCCAGTCACTCCAAGTCACACGCCCTGGATGTTGAGGCAGATCCCATGTAGAAGTCTCACGCCAAACAACATGCTGAGGCTCACTTTTGGGATATACGGCAAGGTGATGGTGGCGAAAGACAGCAGCATCATGATGCTGGCCAAAAACACCAACAGCTGCTTGATAGTCAGCCGCTGCATCAAGGGGTGCAACAGCACGGACCCGACCAGCCATCCTGGGCACTCCGGGGTTCATGGCAACTCCAATAAGGTGCAAAAATCAGGGAAGTCGAGTATAAAAAGTCCGATTCACAATCCTGTCGTGGTGGCTAAACCTATACCTATGGATGCAAGTTAACCCAGGCGTTACTTTTCTTTCAATCCACATGATGTATCCTCACTATCGTTGTGTTCCTGAACTCACCTGAACGGTCTTGTGTTCATACCACTGACCAAATCGGTGGGTGCAACCCCAGGTGCTACCCTCTGGTTATGTCAAGAGTTTGCTATTGAAAATGGTGATTTATAGTGGATTTACCCATTGATAGCATGGTGATGTTCCATAGCAAAATGTAAACGTTTACCAGAGGGTAACCATTCCTAGCAAAATCGCTCGTAGAGATGATCCCGAATACCCTCTGGTAAGTTGCTACATAGCTATGAAAAATCACCATAAATCACCATAAATCACCATAACTCACAGTTGTTCATAGGCAGAAGTAATACAACCAAGACACCTACGAAGATGACGGTTTGACTCAGAACCAGCTGGTTCTCTGTGAATGGCAGCCCGTCGTCTGCCGCGATCTTCCGATCCAGCAGCACTGGCAATGCTTGCCAGGGCGCCTGGCCCAGTTCATGGATAACGTTCGTAAAGCAATAAGATCCACCATCCCCAAATTTACCGTTTTAATGTGTGGTATGAACATGTATGAACCATCAACTTACATTGCTGGTTTATGGCATTGCATTACTAGCATCATGATCATTCCAAATATTAGTGCTTGGACCTGTTCACTTGAGCTGGTAAGCATAGACATGCCATCTTTTTAAGGCTGCGTTCTCAGCTTCCAGCAGCTTTACTCCGAAATTGAATAAAAAAGATAAGATCATTTTTGTCCCTGCTTACCAGGGCGTCCCAGAGCTCGGTCTTTCAAAACTACGGAGAAGTCCGGGTTCTTTTCTCAGGTTTGGACATGTTTAATGATACCGCCATTGTTTGTTGGCTAACAACACCATGATTGTTGGTGTCTAAGAATTCGTGTTGGTCGTGTCCCAATTCAGTGTGGGGTCATCCCGCCTTTAAGATCCATCATTTCCTGATTTGGGCCCCCTGCTGGATGATCCAAAAAAGCTCAGCATCATTGACAGGTCTTGGTCTTCCATCTTAGGACACTCTACATCATTTTAGGGTTTGTCCAAAAATCAAGTACCCCTGGTGTTGTAGGAATATATATTATGTGTATAATACATATTATATATATATGATCCACCGACCCCGGCTGTGGCACTAGCCGGGGCGGCGCCCAGGTCACAAAGCTTTGCTTGTCGCATTGCTTGGCAGGCCGTGGCCATGGGCCCCATGGGCCCCATGGGCCATGTTATCCCAGCTGTAAATCACCCAAGTTCTGCCTGGAAGGAGCCGAAGAAGATGCCAACTCCCAGGATAATTCGACAGGCCATCCACCTCACGAATATGATCAGAGGCTGGTAGCCCAGATTTTTGGATGATTGGATGTTGCAGCCCCCAAAAATATGGTAGGAAATGAGGAGAAAAAAAGCTAGAAAAATTGGATGGTTCCCAACAAAATGAATCTGCATGCTGGTTCAGAAAAAAAGGATGCGCAATGTACAAGTCATAGACTGTCCCAGAGTCACAGAAGGTAAGCCGCCAAGCCACTAATTTGGAAGAGTTTAATTACCCTCTGGTAAACTAACATAGCTATTGAAAATGGTGATTTATAGTGGATTTAACTATTAAAAATGGTGATTTTCCATAGTTACGTTAGTTTACCAGAGGGTAAATGCCTTGTCAACGAAAATCTTGGTATCCACAAAAATCACTGGTATTGCTGGTTGAACCAATCAACAACAACACAAAATTGGCTTGAGACGAATGATCAGCCAGTCTTTGAGGTTCTGACTTCACTATGTTGACCGAAACCCAGCTTTCATCTGTTTTATGTTTCAAAGCTGGAAATACGGTGGACATGTTTTAGATAGGTCAAAGCGTGTCGACTTCCCCAACTTTTGGAGGCACTTGAAGCGGAAATCCAATTGACCCAGGTCACCATGGTGCCTGGTCTGTTTCGTCTCAATCAGCTTTGTTTTGCCATTCTCCTCGTCACCTTCCAAGTTACCTCAGCGGGATTTGTTTCCAGATGTTTGAAGGAAAAATCATCTTCCAAACAGTGCCAAGCCCAGTTTAAGTTGTTTGGGGCGATTCATGGCTTCATGTTCTGTTTCATGGTAACCCTGGTTTTTCGAGATTTGGGAAGCAGTGACTGTTCCATCCCAAGAGGGGACGACCTGGTGCCAAAGCCATCTATAGATTCAACGTATTTCATGTGTATATGATACAAAATCAATTAAGGGCATATCCAGCCAGCTACAAAAATGTCTTATATTGTCTGAAAAACCATCTAGATCAATAATGCCATAGAGTAATGATGTTGAAGCCATGAAAACACCTCAACTTCTCATCGCTGCCGCAGTGCTGATGGACACATCTGCCACATCAACGGGAGCCCTTTGGCACCGCCGTCGTCGGCACAGCGCAAGAGCTCCGGCCATCAGGCCGCAGGCCACACCTCTGGAGCTCAATTTCTGTCCAGTTCTGGAGAAAAACGGTGAAATTGAAAATGGAAGCCAATGGAAGCCATGAAAAATCATGAAAAATCATGAAAAATCATGAAAAATCATGAAAATCAACCATTTGAACATGAGATTTTCACAAAGGCAAGAAGCCGGGCAATGTCTGGAAAAACAATGCAGAAAAGTTCTGGTTCAAGCCGACCACCCGTGTCGTGTCTTTCTTTTTGATCCCAGGATGTCGTGTTTCCAGAAAATTTGGTACCCCAAATTTGATGGCGTATCATCGTTGTCCTCCATGAAAAAACAGCCATTTATGGAAGGCCCGGCCTCCCCATTTTCAGACAAACAAATGAACCATCACATTCCCATATCTCGATTTATGTCATGGAACTTAAATAGATTGTATATTGTACACTATTGTACACTATTGTACACTATTGTACACTATTGTACACTATTGTACACTATATTCAGTATCAAAGCCATATCAAAAAAAAGGAACTGCCAGAGTTTCACCCAGCCACTCATGCTCGCCATGGTCAGGTGGTCAGGTCGTGGGATGATTCCCACGCGCCGGCGCTTGAACCATCGATGGGCCACCGTCGATTTTTCGTCCGGCAACGCCGATGATTTTCCCAATGATTTCATCACCAGAAATGGTGGGCCCCGGTGGGCATAGAACATTATAGAGTTACCCTCTGGTAAACTAACATAACTATGGAAAATCACAATTTCCAATGGGAACTCACTATAAATGGTCATGTTCAATAGCTATGTTAAATTACCAGAGGGTATACAAGCCATTGTTTTTACAGACCCATTTCAGAAGATGTGTTGCTTAAAAGTTTTTTTAAGCTATTGAGATACGGTCCTTTCAATCAATGACATGGTCAGTAAAGGGCAACTCATCATGGTGTTTTTTCAAAAGGTTGGAAAAGGATAACAAACCACCTTGAATTTTATCCAGTGAAATCTCCATGTCGGTTGCTTGAAATCCGGTTCAAGCGAAAATGTCTAACAAAATGCCTATGAGAATCATTCTCCCAATCCGAAAATGTCCGACATTTTGCTCAAAAACTCGCCATTATACTAAAAAAAACTCAATTTCTGCAGTTTCCAACAGGCACCTGGCAGTCTCCCGCTTTCTCAATGACTTCCGCCAGCCGCTGCACCAGGATTTCAGCCACCTACGAAAATGGTCCAGCCATTGGGGGTAAGTCGATAGGTCAATAGGTCGATAGCTCGATAGGTCGATTTAGGTCGATTTAGGTCGCTAGATAGCTAGACAGGTTCATGAACCCAACAAATAGATAGGCCAGTTCTAACCATCTGTTTGTGCCTTCGAGTTGAGAAGAGAAACGAAAGTGCACTGAGACGACCAGGGCAGGTTCATTCAGAAATATTTCATGAACATCCACTGGTATTGGGATTTTGATGATGATGATGAGGATGAGGATGAGGATGAGGATGAGAAATTGGCTGATGATGAGGATAACGACTATGATGAGCTCTAGATGTTGCATCGCCAGCGATTCCACACACTTTTGGGGTGCATAATTCACCCATAGGGTGGTAAGTCGCCTCTGCTCCTTGCCGAGTCATCAGCTTCTCCTTGGCACATGGAGAGCCGTTAAAGAAAAGACTCTCCAATAATCTAACCTGGTCACTGGCCACGGGAAATCCTTCATTTCCAAACATGTTTATATCTATATAGTCTATGTATATATATATATATGTATATATATAATATATACATAATATATATAATATATAATTATATATATAATTATATATATATGATAGGAGAGAGGGAGAGAGACAGACAAATATGATAAGAATTGATAAGATATATCATGGCCATTCAGCATCCTTTTGGAACGTAACGCGTTCCGAACGCGTTTTTCAGAACGCGTTTGTCAACTGGCAAAATGTTTCTTGTCTACGAACTAGATACGAACTAGATTTGCTAGGTGAGAGTTCTACTTACATTTCTTTGTTTCCGCAAAATGTAACTGGGTTTTGCTTCTTGGTTACAAGCTACAATAGTTTGGTTGGTGTTCTGTTTATATTTTTTAGTTCCTGCAACATCTAATTGGGTTCTGCTCTCTGGTTACGATGTTTTTTTTCTTCGTTGGGACTTATATTTTCGTTGTTTGGGCCCCGCAAAATGTAATTAGGTTTGTTTTTATGGTTTCGAGCTAGATTTGTTCAGTAGGAATTTACATTTTTTTGCCGCCGTATAAATTATTTATAAAGTATACTCAAAAATGTTTACCGTCGTTAGCCAAAGTACTTCACTCTCAGTCTCACTTTCCGGCAAAACAATGCTCATTTACATTTTGACAGCCCCTCAATATGTAAATGGGTCATTTCTACCTGGCGATGGTTCTCTCACCAGTGCTGGAAGAAAACAACGAAACAGAAAGCCAATTACATTTTTTTAGGTACTGAAAATGTAAATGGGTCATTTCTAGCTAGTCTTAGGACTCCGCACCAGTACTTGTCCTAAACTCTTAGTAATGGTATATAGTAGTTGTAGTAGTAATAGTAGACGAACAAGAAGTTGTCGTAGCGGTGGTAGTACCCGTACTGGTGGTGGTAATGGTACTAGCAAAGCAGCAAAACACTACCTCATGATTTACATTTTTTCAGCCCTGCGAAACGTAAATAAGCAGTTTCTAATTGGTGTTGGGTTTCCGCTACAGAGCTACAGGAAATCAGTAGAAGAAAAAAAACATTTGCATTTTCGCAGCCCATAAAAACGTAAGCGAGTTATTTCTAGGTCCCATTTCGTGTCGACAAATGCCATGGCCAAACTGCTATGTGGACGGGCGCGCTTACTTCTTTACCGCTCGTGCGAATGCCGGCGGTTCTTAGCCAAAGTATTTCACTCTCAGTCTCACTTTCCGACAAAACAATGCTCATTTACATTTTGAAAGCCTCTCAAAACGTAAATGTGTCATGACTAGGTACCATTTACTCTCGAAAATCTCATGGCCGGTGCGCTGTGTGGTTGGATGCGCTATATCTTCACTTCTCTTTACCGCATGTGTGAATGTCAGAAGTTCTTAGCCATTCTACCCTACTCTAGCCCAAAGTCCGGCAAAAGAGAACCATTTACATTTTCAAAGCAGTTCAAAATGTAAATGGGTCATTTCTAGGTCATGTTCTTCCGTTCTGTCTCGGATCCCAGTTGGCCATTGTATTCTGTGTGGTGCGGTAAACTAACTTCTCCACGGCTTGTAAGAAAGCCAAAGTCTACTCTCATGTTCGAAACCCCTGCAATGCAGCAAAACAACACCATTTACATTTTTCAAGCCCATCAAAATGTAAATCTGTCATTTCTAGCTGGTCTAAAGTCTCCGCTCCAGTCCTTGTGATGAACTCCAATGGTCGCAGAAAGCTATTTACATTTGTCGGGCCTCTCAAAATGTTAATCGGATCTCTCTAGCTCCTACGATGCTCAGTTGCCGGATTTGCTACGCCTCGCATCTTGTCAAGCATCCTTTTCTGGAACTAGCAGCAGCAGTTAGGCCGAATTCTTTTCCCGAGTAACTCGGGCAGAAGCCATTTACATTTTTGGAGCTCCTCAAAATGCAAATAAGGTTCTTTGCCGTTGACGTCTGACGCCATTACCATTTCGGCTTTTCATAATCTTACTTATGCAACTCCGACATGGTGACCACTCTACCGTCATGGAACGTACGGCTTAAGAACGCGCGTTCCCGAACACACCGTAAGAACGCACCGAACGTACCGAGAAAGTACGCTAGGCGCGTGGCATATCTATATACAGACAGATGATTATTCGATTAAAATAGGTCTATTCTCAACAAAAAATAAAGGAAATTGCGGGTCAAAAGACCGGGGATTAACCAAGTAAAGAAATATTCAAGATAGGGTTTCTGAATGTTTCTGATGGTTTCATTGAAAAAGTGTCGTGTCATTCAACCCCATTGAGGCGGACGAAACATGGCTGCCGGATTAGATCATTGGAGGACCTCAGCTTAAAGTAGCTGGCGGCATATTCACGTTGTGATCTTGGCGAAAATGAGCTCCTGATCAATAGTTAAGACACCCATCCAAAAAACGAATCATTCAATGCGGATCTTCACGGATTTTCACTGATCTGGCTGAAGTTCGTGATCATTCACCAACCTGACACAAGGTCATGTAACGGGGCAGTTCCCCGCACGTAGTGCATCAAGGGTGATGATGTCGCGGCAAGGTCGTTAGAGCACCAGCCAGGCTGCATTCTTCCACTTCCCACTTGCTTTGTGGAACAACGTGTGTGTGTGTGTGTGCCACAAATATCTGACATTCACAAACAAGACGGTCCAAAAACAGATCAAAGGTTCTAGAGATTCCCCCATTCTGGTGGATATTCCAAAATGGGAAAATCCACGACAAACAAAAATCCGACCCAGTAGTGCAAGAGTCTTCCCCAAGTATTCCCTGTAGATTCCCCGATCAGATTCCTTCATGGATTCCCTTCAGCACCGGTATTGCTGACACTTTCCTCATCAGTTCCCACAACTTTGATCAGCACAGTGTTAAAACCACAATACTCTAAGCCTCTAAAAAAAAACACAGAGTCTAAGTCAGACTAAGTGCTTATTTTTGTAACATCGAAACCACACATCCAGTCATCGTGTCTAGGCCTCAAAACATCAACGATCATCGTTAGTGGGTTTTTGGGATGTCCCTGGAAGCCGATCGAATTGTCACAAGGCCAAGATTCATAGGTGTCGTTCTCATTGAATCCTACCTGAGGCGGGTTGCAATGAGGACTCAAGAGGATTCCATGGCGGATTCTTATCAGATTGACAATAATAATTAATGAATAGGATAACAATATTGCTACAATAATAATGATAATAATGCTACTACAATCAGTGTAATTATGAATTATTATGATTGTTGTAGTTATAATAATAGTAAAAATAATAACAACAATAATAATGACACTATATAATGGTACTGTAATAATAATAAGTCCACAGTCTGACTCAAGGTCAGGTTGAGTTCCCTGTACTGACCATCATCTACAGCATCGGTCTTCGTAGTGATAGCAGTGCGAGTCGTCCAAGGTGGGTAGCTTGCATCAAGTTTCGAAGGTGTCTTTGAAACGTCGGACATGTTTATTGTGGTAAAGTCAAAAAAAAATGAAGAAAATAAGAAAGTCATTGATCATAAGGGGTTACCATCATAAAATATCATAAATGTCCGACGATGATTTTAGTATATAACCCCCAAACGGATGATCATAATTGATCACTATTGTAGTAGGATTTTACTTGTCCATCCGTTTGGGGATTACTATACATTAAAAGTCGAGCCTGTGACGTGGCTAAGGACGAAAGCTTCTCAACACAGGAGGCCTGGCGCCGATCCCGGTGTCTTTCGATAAAGTGATCCCTAGATGGATTGAAATGCGTGTGTAGTATTAAGAAATGTATATATACATATACACATACACATACACATGTACATACACAAGTACATATAGACTGTATGTGTATTATATATACACACTGTGGCTTGGTGCTGGAAACGTCTCTAAAATCCCCTGTCATCGGGCGCTCATTGAGCGGAGCTGTCATCGGTCTCACTCACTCCTCTATGACAGGTGTGGTTGGTGGTTACAACCTAAGAAATGGGATAAATCTTGGGAATATCGGATTATAATATATCTATATAATGGGGATATGACCAACAATAATGGGGATAGATGTCATGGGGATACATATGGATATATCACCAACAATATGATTTGGGTATGTCTGCAAGTGGGGTCTACCCCACAATGGACATGTTCTCAATTTCAATTGGGAAAATGATTCTCAATCATCAAATTGGAGAGGTATCCTGTTTTCAGACAAACCAACATGTGAGACACCTGCAAAATGATCGTTGAAATTTGCAACCAGCACTGGCTGGTGAACATGATGGTTGCTATAATCCCTGCCCAATAAATGTCTGTAGCCTACCACGGTCCACCCATCATCAATTCATCAATACTGTGGTTCACATAGAGTCAGCGGATTCTCACACCCAACAAATAGAGTCTAGAGATAGTTCAAATCTTCGACATCTTTTTTTGATGATCCAAAGCCGACAAAAATATCTCTGGTGGTTCTTTAAAAAAAAACACCAAACCTTGCCACCTTGCGCCGTGCCCATCTGCCCCATGGACCAAGGACCATTTCGGCGCCTCTGGTCCCTTGTAGCCACGTTTGGCTAATTTCATGGCTGTCTGAACGTCCTCCTGAAGGGGGTGGACATGGCACATGGCACCAGCACGCTGATCGAACTGGGAATCCCCAAAGTCATCCAGGGAGAGGACTGGGACTGGGAAACCAGCAGTTTAATGAAGATTGAAGTAGGTTGATGTATATATATATATGTATATATAGATGATATATATATATGTATATATAAATCAAACTGCGGAGATCTTTTGACCAAAAGAGTACTTCCCAGCCGAAATAAAAAATATCATAGAATGTCTATATTCTGGCGGAGACTTTTGCAGCTAAGCGTCATCACGGAGGAGCAAAGGAGCCTTTCCTTCATCATGAATACCCACCTCGCCGGGCAGAATTTGGTGAACCAATGGAACTACTTGGGATTCAGGTTTAAACCACCAGAGCTAGGAATTTTGGGTGTTTGTATGTCATTATGTATTGATTCACCAAAGATTTGAGATGTTCTCCAAGATGGATGAAAGTACAGTGAAAACTTCCAGGAAAATCCCAAACACAAAGAATGGAAAGAGGAAAATGTTGACCCAATCTTTGTGAAGCCAACCAGATCAGAGATGCGTCCAATGTTTAGAGTTCGGAAACGTGAAAAAAGGTTTAGCCACCTTTCGCAAAAACAGTTTCCGAGGTGTAAAATCACTTTCGGTTCATTCTCCGACACATTCCGTGGCAACCTCCCAGCTCGAAACCCTCCACCCTTCCCAGCTCACATTCAACACACCATCCACGTCCACAAAAATCAAGGTTTCCTGGCGGTTGAAAATGCTCAGGCCATGCCCAGGGCTGCATTACTTGACTTTTTTTGGGCTGGGATGAAAGAAGGTTTCAATAGGTTTTGAAAACAAGCCTTGAAGGGAAGCACCTTTATAGTTGGGTTGTGCCAAAAAACGCACCAGACATTTCCTGTCGCAGAATCTTTACTAATCCCTTCCTCCTATCATTAAATACACCCAAAAGAAAGACCGCTGAAGTCTTTACAGATCCAGCCGCACCCCAAGATATGCTGTGGAAAAACCACCCTCAATTTTCTCACTTGAAACAAAACCCAAAATCATTGTTGACAAAGTGCTTGCTCAAATGTGCATCAAAAATATTATTTGGGCATGGGTATATGATGTATATGCCCATAATTTCCATTCGATGGAATCCCCATAGATTTGTTGGTTCAATCCCCGTCTTGCTTGGTTTTGATGGGCGTTATCCCCGTATCTTTGCCGTTCAATACCAATCTTAGCGGGTTAAATGGGGTATTCAAGTGTGATTAATTAGCCATCAACCTTTAGGTATTCAACCATTGTTCCAGAAACATCCGTTTTGGTTTGACTGAAATTTTGGACCAAAATCTCACCGTTGATCTGACAGCATGACTTTGACTAAAGATGGGTTATACCCCCAAATTTCATGGTTGATCGTCGTCATCATCACCACCATCACCATCACCATCACCATCACCATCACCATCATCATCATCATCAGCAGCAGCAGCATCAGCATCATCATCCTCATCATCATCATCAGCATCAGCATCAGCATGATCCTCATCATCATCATCATCCTCCTCATCCTCATCATCATCATCACCATCATCACCACCAGCATCATCATCATCATCATCATCACCGTCATCATCATCATCATCATCATCATCACCATCACCACCAGCATCATCGGCATCATCACCACCAGCATCATCATCATCACCACCAGCATCACCATCATCATCATCAGCAGCAGCAGCATCAGCATCAGCATCAGCATCCTCATCATCATCATCATCATCATCATCATCCTCAGCATCAGCATCAGCATCCTCATCATCATCATCATCATCATCACCATCCTCAGCATCAGCATCAGCATCAGCATCCTCATCATCATCATCAGCAGCAGCACCATCTCCATCACCATCACCATCATCATCATCACCATCACCATCACCATCATCATCATCATCCTCATCATCATCATCATCACCATCATCATAATCATCATCATCAGTCGTCATCATCATCATCATCCTCATCATCATCATCAGCATCATCATCACCATCATCATCATCATCCTCATCATCATCATCATCACCATCATCATCATCATCACCATCATCATCATCATCATCATCACCATCATCATCATCATCACCATCATCATCATCACCATCATCATCATCATCACCACCATCATCATCATCACCATCATCATCATCATCATCATGACCATCATCATCATCACCATCATCATCATCATCATCGTCGTCATGATCATCATTTTGGCTGCGGAGCTCCACCCAGCCCAGCTGCCTCTCTGTCACACCTTGGCGCCATTTCCGTGTCGCCTGAGCGGGCAGGGCCATGGCCTTCCTGCCATGTTTTTTTGCCACCAATCCATGCTTGGGCAACGGAAAGAACCGGGATTTCATCAACAAATGGTCATTTATAGTGGATTTTCCCATTAAAAATGGTGATTTTCCATAGCTATGTTAGTTTTCCATAGTTAGGTCTTCGAAAAAATGGGACCAGTGTTGGTCAATCCCATATCAATCCCATATCGTTGATCATCAACAAGACTGGGGAACTCGATATTTTGATGGGGAGTTCACCAACGAAACTGGTGTCAAGCAACCAAATGGTGACCAACAAAAAGCGTCATCTCACAGACATTCTCAGGCGCCAACTATCTGTGATATGGAAAGCTGGTAACCACGAGCTGGATCAGAATAAGTCATTTTAATAGGCTTTTCCATTGTAAACCATCCAGCTATGGGGGATTCCCCATTTCAGGAAACCTCCATATGTTGATTGCACAAATCTTGGTTTTGGGGTGTGAAAGCAAGTATTATCATGTCTTTCATATATGTTTCCTATGTTTCCACAAGGCAGGAAATGTCCATCGTTTGGCTCCCCCAAGTTGGAAAACGGACCCCACAAGTTCTGGGTCTCTGAGTGAGCCTCACAATTATGTGCACGTATGCACGTGAAGGATGTATAAAGAAATAGATACAGATAGATAGATGGATGCATGGATGGATGAATGGATAGATTTATACATGTACGTATATTTATTCCTCTACATCTGCATGTAATTACATGCAGATATTACACAATGTAACACGTTCTACATATTGTATTTTATAAATATATATATACATGACTTCTGGCTTGGAGCTGTGTGCCCCGGCTTCTGTAGACGACTGCGGCCGAAGAACTTGCGGCTCTGTTTTTGATTTAAAAAACGGATCTGCGGATCAGGAATTTCACACGGAACATGGCACCACTTGTGAGCCCCATATGCCCTATGCAACTCGAATAATGATTCATGATTCAGGCAATTTCAATCTTCAGCCAATTGCGTCCAATTGTTGGGTTTTCATCAGCATGGGTATCTCAACCAAGTTTGGGGCTAAGGGCAACGACAAAAACCCCTGATATTCACGTCCCCAACGTGTACGAAGTCGGAGTCCCGAAAACCAGCAAAGTATGCCAACAGCCACCATAGAGAAGCCAGCCTGGTTGAACAGAAATTATCAGACACACAATACGATACCCTCTGGTAATTTAACGTAGCTATTGAAAATGGCCATTTATAGTGGATTTTCCCATTAAAAATGGTGATTTTCCATAGTTATGTTAGTTTACCAGAGGGTAATTACCATGACGGACTTCGAGTCCATCAGCGTGTGAATCCTGGTTCTGGTGGTGGTCCACAACCACAGATTCCGACAAAATATTCTGACACCAAGCGCTGAGCGCTAGCGCAAAAAATCCCAAGGGTTGGTTGTTCGGTAGGATACACCAATCATTAACACCAGTTGGATCATGTTGGATCCGGATGTTCGTTGAAATCACCAGCTTGAAATCGGCAGCTTTAAGCTGCGGCCCTACAAGGGCGCACCATGTGAACGGGAGGTGGTGGGGGCGCGCGACTGGCCAAATGAGGCCTCGAAACGTCGTCGCGGCACTGATGGTGTGGTGGATGTTTATGATACCCTCTGGTAATGGCTGACATAGCTATTGAAAATGGCCATTGAAATAGTGGATTTTCCCATAAAAAATAGTGATTTTCCACAGCTATGTTAAACTAGCAGAGGGTAAAGAAATTCACCTTGTGCATTTCCAGGTCCAATCGAAATAGAGAAGGGAAAATCCTCAGGAAACTGTTTTGTACGTAGTTTCCCTCGCAAGATTTGGTGGGTGTTCCGGATTTCTACCCAAGCCGATTATGGGACTAGAACTTGAAATAAGCCAAAAAGATGATTCAAAACAGAATCTGCGCGATGCCATCAACCAAAACACGGATGGAAACGAGAAGAAATGAAAGAAATTGCGATATCACCAGCACACAGGATATCCGCAACAAAAGAACATCAACCAAGGCGATGTATGGCACCAGAAATGCTGGTCATGTGCAGGCGAGGGCGGTCCGAACTCTGATCGGAGGCCCAACATCCTAAGAGCTTGTGGGTCACCGAACGATCAACATCCCAGACATCCTGAATCCTGAAAAAGCTTGCCGGACATGGTCGTCTACCCAATTTCAGGAGTGATGAATAGTGGCAATAGTGGCAATCCACCTAATCTTACTGGTGCTAAACGCAGGGAATTTTCGGGAATGATCCACTGGCTAACTATCAATAATCATCCCAGCAACCCCCATTCCCATCCATTCCCTGCTAAGCACCAGAAAGTAATTCTAAGCTGATTCCACTTTCCACGTCCGCCATGGCAAGGCACGGCGGGCCCCGGGGAGGTGGAGGAAGGTACCTACCGAGGCGTCAAATCCGCGGCTAAGGACGTGCGCAACACTGGAAGTATACTACATATGCAAATGTGTATATACGTATATATATATATATATGTGTGTATATATATATATGTATGTATGTATGTATGTATGTATGTATGTACGTACGTATGTATGTATGTATGTATGTACGTACGTATGTATGTATGTATGTATATAGTTATAGATAGATATATATATATGTATATATATATATATGTATATATATATATGTATGTATATGTATATGTATATATATATATATATACACATATAATAGTACTACATATATCTTTACATTCATATGCAAAATGTCTATTATGTCTATACAAACATGTACATAACATATATATATATATTTATTATTTATTTATGCATACATACACATGCAAATAGTACTATATATATAGTAATAATTAATATATGTCTATATATAATATTGGCTGCATCAAATTCACCAATCTGAAATGCTCCAAGTTCATTGCCTTTACCAACATGGCTGTCGTAGCTTAGGTTCTGCCCAGATAGATGGCCCAATCACTTACACCTCTGGGTCTTGGCAAAAGCAGAGATAGACGACGAATTGAAAAAGTCAGTCTCAAGCATTTTTCCCAGGTATATAGATCCAGGTAGTTCGTTAAGAAGTGAATAGAACCCTGGCCAATCTGATCATGAAACTTCAGACGGGTGGATATTCCACTGGATCCCGGCCCAATCCCGGCACTTTAGCAGTTTCCAAGACACCCCGAAAATACCAGTTTTAGGCAGTTGTCAACTTGGGCTCTTCATTCCAGCAACAATCATGGAACTGAAATGCTGCGAATAAAACTTTGAGACATTCAACCACCAACCAGCTTTAATATCCTCAATCTGAAAGTTCCAAACATGGCTGCCCGCGCCGTTATCCGGCTGCGCGCTCTGAGCTCTCCGGACGGTGAAATGTTTCGGGCACGCGCCTTTCCCTCCTGTCATGATGGTTTGGGGATGGTTTGGGGACCATGAATGGGTTGTTTGTGAATGGTGATGAATGGGATGGTTGAGGGATAGTTCAATAGTTCATGAAAGGTTCTGGTGGATGGCTTCAGGATGCTTCAGGGCTAGTTGATGGATGTTCTGGGGCCGTTTTTGGCCTATTGGTTGACTGTTGCTTGAGGCCAGTGCTTTGGATTGGCACGTCCTGGCTTCTTGGCAATGTTACAGGACGCCAAGAAAGTGTGAGCTACGCCCTCTCTGTTTAAGTGTTCGTCACAAGGGCGATTGGCGATCATGGAATCTTGGAAATTCAGTAAATTCACAAACCAGAACAGACTCACATCACAACCCCCAAAAGGGATCTCCCAGTCAAAACTGAAGACGTGACCAATCATTTTTTCATATTTTTTCCGTGCTCAAAATGGGATGGATCACTGGTCCACCAGCGAGCCAGAAAATGCTGACCCCTTCCCATGTGAAACGTTTGATTTTAAAATCCCGTCACATATCCCATATGATCCCATATGGCAGTGTGTCAAAACCTTGTACCCCTGTAGTTCACATCAAAATAGCTGGTAAATGGATGTTCATCCCCCTAAAAATGGCATTAATAGGTATTGATCCATAGCCATATGATTTCTAGCTGTTCAGTTCCTATTCTGCTAAAACAGGAACCGGTTTTTCATCCCCACCCCCCCATTCCCTCGGAAAAACCAGTCGCAGCTTTGCCCAGCTGTCCTCATTGGTGTAGGCTTCAAAGGTGATCTCCAGGCCTTCCAAAGGTTGTTTGCTTTCCAGCAGCTCCTCGGAAAAGTTCACCCAGTTCACCCAAGTTCATTGGATCGAATTGGGGGATTGAACCAGAAGAGGAATGTTCCCACAAGAATATCTACAAACATGACGCTAATCTGACCTGGCTAGCTGGGAAATCACTATTTTACTGAGAATATTCTTGGCTCATGGTCTTCCAGATGTCCAAAAAACAAATGGGATCCAGCTTTATTGAAGATAATTACATCGAAGAAGGACCTTCTCAACCAACCCAACTATATCAACCCCCCAAAAGACAATCCGAGTATCTTAACCCAACTATGTCAACCCAGTCAACCCCAACAGAAAAAAGAAAAAAAACTGTCAAAAACAAAGTCCCCCGAAATGCCAAAATGCGCCCTGGATTTCGCATGCCATTCACCGCTCCTTGGGCAGAGAGCTGGGGAGGAAGAAGAGATCCTCCCGGCCATTGCCTTCAATGAAGCCGTAGCCCTGTTCGCCGCTGATGGATGGCGACCTAATGGAATGCTGTTGATTACTCAAATGGCAAAAAAGACCATAAGGATCCATAAGGTGATATTGTAGAAATATTGGTGAAGATCACAATTATTGGTGACGCAATTGGTAATTAAAAAAAGGCCCTCGAATGGAAAAAAAATGCTTCGAAGTTTATTCAGACAGCGGTTATCCCATGGAGATGTTTCAGTGTGGGCGATCATATAGCCAGAGGGAGGGATGTCCATATCTGCAGACAACCATTTATGGCGCTGTAGGACCCTAGACACACGAGATATGTATGGTTTTGCAATTCCATGCAATTCCCATAACTATAAACTTGGTCCATGCTGAACCCCAAAATTAGGATTTAAGTGGATTTCAATCTGTTGTTTCTGTTCGTGTATTTGGTCATTACTAAAGATACTACAGATTTTTACCAAACATAGATCCAGGAAATAAACCTCTGCACCTTGCTGGGGTAGTAGTTGCGTATGCGGCCGTAGCTCAACGCCGCTTCCCGATGACCTGGCAAGCTGGACCAATGTGCCAAGGGCAGATCTTCCGCAGGCAGATCGCTACGATACATACATTACACTACATAACATGACATTACATACATATATATATATATATACCCATCTATCATATACTAATCTATAGAATATATATATATGGCTGAAATACTTGAAATAAGGCCACCCGTCTTCGCACTCGTTCTTGAAATAAGGCCATGTGGGAATAATTCGCTTTATATAAAACATCAATCCAATGACGTCACAGTGAGGTCATGTTTATTCTTCCAGATTAATACTGATTCATAGTTTTATTGGTTATAAACCAACCTACCATAGTTATATTGGCTATGTTAACATCAGCTATACACCCCAGCTACACTCCATTGGTGGAGCTTCAGAGTTTTAAAACAGATAGAAGATATAAAGATATAAGCTATATATATATAACTATATATATACGTATATATATATAATAACTATATATATAATAACTATATATATTATAGTTATATAATGTAAATAGTCATATAGGACACGTCAATATAGTTATGGTTGATAGAACCTTCGCATCCCCACCTGACGGTGCGGGCATCTGCGGTGCCCGCGGGATCATCGGCGGCGGTGGCAGCAGGGGGCCCGGGCCGCCGGGGCCCCGGGGCGCGATGAAGCGCAATTTCTGGGCCCGCAGCTTGCCATTCTCCATTTGTCTCACCTGAAAAAGGGGGTCAAAACTTGGAAAATCTCGAAAATCCATGAAAATCCCATGGATCTGATTCTGGTCTTCTATGGATTTTTAGTGGATTCTTAATTCATCTTGGTGGTTTGCATAGTTTTGTGTGGTCTTATGATAATTGTAATACCTTGTAAGATGGAAAAGAATGCAAATATAGGCCAAAATTTATGCAAAAAATGGTAGGTTTTCATACAGATTCGCAGTTCATGCATTCTGACCATCCACAAACTATGGTAGTGGTAGTGACTGGTAGTGTAGCCCCTTTCTGAAACTACCCACCCAGCAGACCAACAAAGATGCTGATTTAACCAACAAAGGGCTGAGAAAGCTGTCACAGGTTGAAGGGAAAAATCCAGCGGTTGAAGATGCGGGACCTTTTCCCAGTGAAAAAACCTTGAAACTTGTGGATCTGTGCCCTGCGAAAAACAGCCTGCGATATATGTATGCAGTGGTTGATTGGAAGTTTTCTCAGCTGGTTGAATAAAAGCCCCACATCTCCATCTTGGTTGGCATTCCGTGGTCAAAAATCATGGATACTCCAATTGATTCCGACGTTCATGGGGAATTTTTAAAGATTTTCCACCATGACACGGTCCGTTGAAAACCATCACCCTCCAATGGCCGGAACTTCCATTGCCACTGAGCAGCTTCAAAATCAACTCGTCGGTCGACCACCTACGATGTAGCGCCGAGATTTACATGAGTTGAATATGGGGGAGGTATAATAGGATGCAATGGGATATATAAATGTGTATATATAATATATTATATATTATATATAATATAATTTTATAATGTATAATGTATAATATATATTATATGATATATAATATCTAATATATAATATATAATATGTAATATATATATATATACTGTACTATATATACTATATATATAATACGTAATAGTGGGATACATCACCAACAATATTTTTATTGGGTCTGTCTGAAGATGGGGTCAGACGGTCATGTTTTTTTCGGAAAATGATGACTAACCAGTGGATTTAGGGGTACCCTCTGGTAATTTAACATAGCTATTGAAAATGGCCATTTATAGTGGATTTACCCATCAAAAATGGTGATTTTCTATAGTTATGTTAGTTTACCAGAGGGTACCACATTTTCAAACAAACCCATGTTGGAAAGATCATTTGACTCCATAGAAATTCCATGGGAAACAAGATGATGTTTGGCAACACAAGCAACTGGACCAAAAAGATCGATAGTTTTAGGGGGGCCAAATGAGTTGACTGAATAGAGGCAACAAACATGCAACCCGCATCCCTTCCTCACTATCGAAACAGTACTGTACCTGAACTTCATAGAACCTAGTGGTAGAGGTCATACCTTTGGAATGCCTTGCCGACCCAAAAAGTTGCGAAAAGATGCGAAAAGAAAGGTTAGAGCCAAGCTATTAACATAGCCCTCTTCCCCAATATTGGCCAATGGAAATGGTCGGTGTACTTGGAATCTAAGGTTCTTGCAATCCATTTGAATTCGAATTCTTCAGCAAAGAACGTTTACCCTCTTGTAATTTGAAATACAGTAACTATTGAAAATTGCCCATTTATTAGTTGATTTACCTATTAAACATTGTGATTTTCCACTTCGCAAACTGTTAGTTTATCCCAAACCTTTCACGTCACTCTTTTCGAGAAACGGACATGGAAAATCCCCATTTTGTGGCAAAATTCTAAAGTTGCCGGTCTTGTGAGACCTGGATGACTATCAATTAGCTATCATTCTGAAGTGTATTGTGAAAAATCCGAATGAAAAATGGTACCATGATTATTAATTATCCAATGGTTATCCTACTTTTCATTAGGAACATCCCCAAACTTTGTCGACCTTCCCTTTGCTCCACCTGGTTTCGCATGGGTTCGATCCCATCCAGTTCTGGGGGGAGCTCACTCCTGGTGCAACCGGCTGGTCCCCGAAAATGCTGTGGGAAGACCCATGATGACGGTGACGATCGTCCGCATCATCTCAATAATAAGATCAATAGTAATAATATGTAATAATAACAATATTTTTATATAATTCTTGTAATGATAATCATCATCAGAAGAAGGATGGTGCTGTTTTTTCCATGGACATTGCAAGCTGTTGCCGAAATGGTGGTCCCCTCTACGGCTCTTCCCATGTCTCGGTCTCCTGAGGTAAAAAATGTCCTCCGGCAGGTCATCGGGCAAGATGAAGCCGAAGCCCTCCGGCAGGATCTTCCGATGGATTTCCGGTGGATTTAACGAAGGGGAAAAATGATGAGAATATGGATTTATCAATGGATTGGTTTAAGGGAAAATCTACAGGAAACCATAGATTTTCCCATCAAATATAGGGCTTTCCTGTAATTTTTCCCATAATCCAATTCTATGAATTTATGGGTAGATAAAGCCATAAAGGACCCATGGATTCAACAAAAGCCTATGTTCAAACAACAGGACCCAATGGCTATGTCGCTATTTCTGAAAAACAGTTGGATTGAAGAAGCAAACATTGGTTTGATAAGCTGTCAGCGAAATAAACCAGTTTTTTTAGGGTCTTGCTGGCTGCATCCACTTCTATTTGCTATTATTAATCATTATTAATCATACCCCCAAAAAATAGAACAGTGATTTGAATATAAATATCTCGTTCTCTCGCTCTTTTAGTATGATTTGACTTTTCTATCCTTTTTGTGGGCGACTCTGCTCATCTGCCAGCGACCCGGCTGCCTTCTTGGCATCGTAGGACCGCAGGGTGCCCGTGTGAATGCCCAACCTCGACAGCACTGGGTGCGGTGCTGTCACGTCAGTAACGGCTGACGATGTTTGATAGGACAACACACCAGGTAGCTGATACCTTGGGGCCTTGGGGGCCTTGGGGCCTTGGGGGACTTCGGACTTGGGTGTCTTCCACCATCCCAGGGCCCGAAGTTGTCTCAAAGGTTGAGCTTCCACAGACCCATGGGCCCATGATCACTATGCGATCCATGTCTTTCACTGGGTCTCCCAAGCAGGGCTTGTCGATCACCGCCTGCCGTTTGAGGGCTGTGGTCCGCCTTTACTCCATGTTTGAATGGATTGCTAGGGCGACCCTTTGCCCGATTTCATGCAGCCATCGAAAAGAAACCTTTCTTGACACCTCTGACCCCCAACTGAAGCAACTTGCCATTGATGATGTGATAACCTCTCAGAACAAATCTACAGTAGCCCAAAAATTAGGATAGTGGATCAGAATTACTACCTTTCAACAGATCTCAACATGTTCCTTTCTGCAGGGGATCCATTCACTCCCACAGCTCTGCAGTTGATACCGATGTTCATTCATCCTCTTGGATCGGCTGATTTGTTACCAACCACCAGTGAACTGGTGACACCAATCAGTTCGTTGGTCAAGATTTGCGACGTGGTTACGATACCATAACCGTAACCACGACCCGATTTTTCATCAAACATGGCTTGATGGAAAATCCCTCATCTAGTTAGATGTTCCCATTCAAATGCCAATTTAGTGAATTGTCCAGCTAGCCATGTTTGTTTGCCGGAGTCTATTGTTGGCTAGTCTACTGGTCTGGGTTGATTACGATAATTCACGAACTTGAAATAAGGACATTTGGGAATAGCTACCCTACTAATGATTATTCCAGTGACGTCGCAGTGAGGTGTTTATAATTCATCCTATTGTCAGTATCACTGATCATTATATATTACTTTCCCGCAGAACCAGACGTTCCCGCATACTCACATAATCTCCCATTTTTTGCAACAGGTTTAACAGTTCTTTTCCGAATCCACATCCATTCCCTACATTTTTCCATAGTTTTTTACCGTTGGTTCAACAATGTCACATTTTTCCCACGATGTACCCTATATTGCAATATATATATATATATACTTATATATATATGATATTATATTGTCTTCCATCGTATTGCATCATTACAGAAGGACATGTATCTGCCACCCCCTCAAACAATACATATAAAGGTCTTATAATGGTTTTATCGTTTTTTTTATGTTCTTCCATCATATTACATTATTACAGAAGGATCTAAAGCTGCCACCCCCTCCAATACATATAAAGGTCTTCTAACGATTATATTCTATCTTATCGAAAATACAAGTGGTGCAAACAGGCCGCTTTCTGCGAGAAAACATAGGATCCGAGCAGAAATTTATATCAGGAAACCTTCCACGACTTCCTGGGGGTCTGTTAGAAACTCAGGTCGTTTTACCCGAAAAAAACATAGGCTCCGGGCAAACGTCCGGATCTGTGCGTACTTTTTATCATTATTGGTGTTATCATCATCCTTATGATTAGCGGCATCATTGTCATTATCATCATTATCATCATTGTTATCATTGTCATCAGTGTTCTTGTTACAATCATAATCTTACATGAATGGGTAATCACAAAATCCCATAATCATGCATTTGTTACCCTCTGGTAAACTAAGATAACTATGGAAAATCACCATTTATAGTGGATTTACCCATTAAAAATAGTGATTTTCCATAGCAAAATGTTAGTTTACCAGAGGGTATGATCATCGAATCATCATTGTTCCTGTCCTTGTTCCTATCGGTCATTGTTCATATTCCACCTGGATGCGGCATGCTCGGCAGCCCCGGTGGGGCCGGTGGGGCCAAAAGCGGAGACACCCGAGGCGGGCCTCGGAAAACTGGGGGAGTTCGTTCAATGACTTTCCCGGCAAATCTCCAGGGGATTGTCCAGCTAGCCATGTTTGATGACACTGGAGGATATATCTCCACGAAGTCCCCAAAAAAAATCCATGATATCCCCCAAACATCCCATGAAATCACCGTATTTTTGCTGGTTGAACCACTACTTTTTTTGCACCATTTTTGATGCTTAACCATCTTACATCCCATACTTGTGATAAATAACCATAGTCAAACGGGGGTTGAACCACTACTTTTCCACCATTTTCGATGGTTATATCAGTTATATCCCCATAAATCCCATAGTTTTGCTGGTGAAACATGCTTCAACCACTACTTTTTCTGGATTTTCTCGAGAGGTCCAGATAAAAATCCCCCTGGTTTTTGGGAGATGTTCGCATTGCCAGGTTTGATTTTCCCGGAGCGTCACCATCCTGGAGATATCATGAGGGTCTACCTGAGATCCATCCAGGCTTTGCAATGCAATGCAATGGAACGTAATGTAGGTGTGTATATCATATTAGTAATATAATTAGATGATATACTGAACTAATATATCTATATCATATTAAACCAGTAAACCAGTGGACTTAATATTGGACCTAATATGTAATTATTTATATTAAGTCCAATGGTTTACTGGATGTGTACAATTGAGTGACAATTTATAATGAAACATGGGTGGAGCATTTTGAATTGTAGACTATCCCTTTTGGGGGGACCCCGCTCCAGGACATTCCTTGTGAAACCTCGGGGATCCAATCTTAGATGACTCAACATGATTCAACCATCCAGTTCTTCTGGATGACATGTTGGGCTAGCTCACTTCGATTGGAGCAGGATGTGTTGTTGTTGATTGGTGAGAAATGCTACTGTCCCGAATTTTCACGCCCCCGACCAAATGTCAGCTGAGATGTCCACCAACACTCTTGTGTCCATTAAATCCTCATGTTTGATTCTTATATCCCCATGAAATCCCCATGTTTCATGAGTTTTATCCGATTTTATCCCCATCAAATCCCCACTTTCATTGGTTTCTCCCCATGAAATCCCTATGTTTGATGGTCATCTCCCCTCGAACTCACTGCGCCCAGCCGCCCGGCAAAGGCCCTCGAGGGGAGATGTTTTCCCCTCGCGGCTTGCCGTCCATCTCCAAGAAAGTGAAGTTCACCTTGCAATCGGCAAGACTATCGTTATCAAAACCTGATTTTAACAAAAAAACCTAGGGATTCACTGGGAATCCCTAGAAAAGTATTGGTTGAACCACCAGAGCATCGAATTTAAGATGGTTAACCATCCAAAATAGTGCAACATACTGATTTAACCAACAGAAATATGGGGATTTCATGGGATATTGTGGGGATATAATGGGGATTTCATCGGGATATAGATATATATATATATATACTCCAGTAATCAAACGTGGCTAGCTGGAAATTCCCTGAACTACAGTAAATGCAGGTTTATAGCTGAGAAACTCATCAAACTAAATGGGGAATTGTCCAGCACGCCACGTTTGATTCTTGGAGGGTAACACAAAAATAGATGATCTAATGGAAATATCACTAACCATAATGGGATTTTTTATCTACATCGTGCAATGAAAGCCAAAAAGCAAGTGTTCATGTGGAAATATCGTTTTGATACTTGACCTGACTACATGATCTACATGGTTAACAAACAAGCAGCCAACCATCGTCATAGCCATCCTTCGGTGGGTTCCCCGCCTCCAGCCCCTTCAGCTGATTCAACTCAAGTTCCTCGCGGTGAGAACTTGGAGGCCAGGAACTTGACGTGACAAAAACGTATGGAAAACTTGGCTGAGTAAAACATATAGATTCATGACATGATGTCTAATATTCATGCACTGTATATATATAATTATAGGTAGCCAGGTAGGTACCTAGATGATGTGTATATATATATATATGTGTGTGTGTAAGTTACATGTGTAGATTATATATTATATCACAAAGGACTCCTGTGGCCGCACAAAAGTCACTCCTAGATAGACCAATTTTGAATGCTGAGGTGTGAAACTCTTGGCACATCTTAGTACCATGTTCAACAACATAGAAAAATAGTGTAAATCAACCTCAACAGTTTTGCACCAAAACTCACAACCCCTTTCTGTGTCTGGATTACGAGATCATCCCAACCACGCCTGTAGCTCAAGTGGCAAAGCCGCTCTCGGGAAGAAGACATCCTGGTGAGTCCCCAGCCACACCCTGAAAAAGCTCGGAAGCTTTGATGGTTCTCGAAGTATGTTCAAGTGGCAAAAATCCTGGCAAGAAGGTAGTTTATATCCCGGAAACGAAGAGAATTGTCGTCATGTTGGCATGTGAATAACAAGCACATTCGGGTTGGAGCAGCCCAAAATTCGCCGTCTTTTTGGATTTGGGGCTGTCAAGTCAACACTATCCACCAGATGTCAGTGTTCAACTTGTCCATTTGGCATCGCCTAGGAAGTACCGAGTTGAACTATGCACTTCTTGGTGTATCTGGGCAAGTCCAAATAAGTTCCAACCGGTGGACCTATCCTTCACAACGATTGTGAGGTGGGTCCAGAAATATGGCTGTGGCTGTGGCAGCCTGGAAATGGGCTACAGAATGAGGTCAAATTCTTCAGAACCTCATCCCACAGTTTCCCTCTTATTTGGTAATCAAATGTTATGAATTATGAGCAACTGCCCCATGTTCAGACTCACAACTCTCATCAAAGTTGCTGCTCCTTGGCGCACACCCCAGACTGAAGGAACCTCAGCAAAGGTCCATTTTGAATGTTTCCTAAGATTGCGGGCCTCCAAAATCGAATGGACAGTATCATGACCTGAAAACAGTTGCCATGCTGTATCATCTTTATCATGTTCAGACCTGTTGGTTTTCGTTTGTTTCAGACTTCCTACTATGCTGATACCATCTAGTCGCTCAGATTCTCCCGAGAAAAATTCCTCTGCTCATTCTGATAAATCCGAGAATCACCAATAATGAACTCACCAAGGGGGTGAATACTTTATGCCATCCGTTCATGGTCAGTCCTTGGGGATGTTTTATAATGTTCATGATGTTTACCATATCAGTATGGATTGCTTTGTATCTTGTAAATCTGTTCATTTTGGATTATGATTCGGGAATCCAAGCGGCACCACCAAGCCACCAGCCACCAGCCCACCAGCCCACCAGCCCACCAGCCCCACCAGGCGTCCAAACCCATAGCCTTTCTGGGCAAAGAAGCTGATGATTCGCCCAACGGCAGGCTGACGATGATTCGCCCGAAAAATGAGCCCATGGGCCCATGGGTACAAGGTGGGGCCCCACTGCGTTAGCCAGGTTGGGATTTTAGTTCAGATTAAGAATTGGATAGAATTGGATTGATGGTGGATGCAGCTATAGGATTTATGAATATTTATGAGGGGTTATGGTCCAGTTATGGTGATGGTTAAGATATGTTAAGCTTCTCCCCACCCAACCCGGTGTCATCAGCTCCACGGCTGGGAAATCCCTCAAAACGTCCTGGTAAGCGGGGGTTCTAGCTAGGAAAAGCATCGGTAACTAATGGTGGATTTTCCAGCAAGCCATGTTTGCTTGCCTACCGGAGGATATGATAAATGGTATAGTATTGTAATACTGTATACATAAATGGTATGATCAATGGATGTGTACCACCCAAACATGGTCCATTAGTTTTTGCCGTTCAATGAAAAGGGAAACAGCGCATTATGTCACGTCATTTTCTGGATAATCCAATGTTGAACCATGTTGGAAAAACACAAGCTAATTGCCCTGTGCCTACTACACCACATTGCTAGAATTGACCGTGCCGTGCAAATCTTTGGCTTTTGACAACCTAAATAACATGGAGAACCGGATGTCCATGTGTAGCCAATGTAGAAAGTTGGAGGAGAACAAGAACCAACATCCAACAGCGTCTCCTCAGGCATCTGCCAAAAACTCTTTGCAGAAGCCCCAGAATTAATGGAACTTCCTCTATCACAAAGATCCCAAGACTAGGGTAATTGGTTCCCAAGCGGGACCACTGCT